AAATAAATAAATATTTTGAATACTCTCACGGAGTAACTTTTGCGTTTCCTTCGAAAGTCGCGGAAAACGATTTAAATCTCCGATCCCTTTTCCTTTAATTATTAGAAAGAGTCATCAACGACTGATCATCGTTGATCAACAGCTTTCGTAAAATAGTTTTTGGATAACACCTATGTTTGTTTATTTTGTTTCTTGAAGGAAAAGAGCGTTTATACAATGCAATTCAAGAAGCAAAACAAAAAAGGTTGTTATCCAGGAAATACTCGGGTTGGTTTCCAAGACCTCTTTTTAAATTGCACCCGACTTTGAGGAAGCAAACAAGGTTTTCTCCTTGCAGCTGTTCCCCTTGTTTTGAAATCTCTCTTCACACGTCACCCCAGGTTAAAACAGCATGACGCGCTTTTGTCCTCTTCAACTAGTAAAACTCCCCCTCACTATTGACAGTGACGAATGTTATCCTTGCACATATCCGCGCCGCCGCACCTCTGAAATACGAACTTCAGAGGTATATACAATATAACGGATTTTCATATACATAATATTATTGTGTATCATGTTTGCAGATATTTTGCCTCATGAGGTCCACACCCTCATGAATATTATGCGGAATACTTTGTTGTTGATCCGCATTCCTTGTTGTTGACCTGTATACCTGTAAAGTATATATATTGCTGAGGAACAATTTTTCCTCAGATTTAATCCTGTGTTGACCACGGTTACTTCTCAGAGAACCTTGTATACGTTTAACAAGATTCTCTTAAGACTTGTCTTTTTTTGTTATATTTGTCTTGAACAAATTTGGTTGTGAATAAAATATATCTTTTATATATATTTGATCTGGAATTGTTTATTTAATATCAGACAACAAGGTAAATATACAACTGGAATTTTGATTTCATACCCATTCATTTCAAAATTGTACCAACAAAGTATCAACAAACAAGGCGCTTTTCAAAAGATTTTGAAACCAATAACGAGAAAAATCAAGGGCGCTGCATCAATACAAAAACACAACCGATTCACCACGCAATTTTGATTATCTCCAATTTCTGCATATTTACAAAGCTGATTTAAAAAACCGAGACCCAAATCGTATCAAATAAGTAACCACCAAACAAAATTGAGCACAATCACTTCATCCCCAGAAAGCTGAGCATAGAGGATTTTCCGTCTCCAGCACTCCAGCTGACATGTCCAAGAGATCCCCTGCTGCAGCTTCCTCCCTTTCTCCCTCAAAAGGCGTGACTGTTGAAGGATTCACAGCTGTTTGGAGGCCCAGCCATCTCACAGCTCGTTGAATGAAAATCCACTGCAACAGATCAAATATCAAAAAATGCATCAGTCCTCAATTCCTTTCAAGATTTTTCTTCCAAAAATAGTTACCCTATCCAAATGAGGTACTGCTCATCAGGGCCGGATTAAGGTGGGTGCTATTAATGCTGCAGCATTAGGCTCACCAGAAAATTAGGCCCCTGGAGAATTTGAAAAAAGTTACCAATTTGAGGAATTCCAATTTTTTTAACCCTTGGAAAGTTGATGGCTCTTTCTCATTGCTGGCCAAAGTGAGGTTATTTTTGTATTCTTGGGCGTTTTAAGTTTTTTGAGGGTCAGACAAGCTTTTCCAGGTGGGCTGAGGCAAAGTTGGGATTAATCCAATCCAAGAAAAGCCTGCTGCTTAACATGGCATTTTTTTTTTTTCTGCAAAATTTTTCTGTGCAAAAAGAAAAAAAAACATTGGAATTTTTCCCAACTTTGTCCTCAAATCCCTGTATAGTCCTTTTTCTTTTCTTCCCTGAGGTGCATCAAAATTTTGAAAAAATACAAGGGTTAATTATGAAAATTCCGGAAAAAGCCAAAAAAAAGACAAAATTATTCATGATGAAAAAATCATGGCACAAATAAATGAATTCCAGCACCTTGCACATATAAAAGTATTTGAAGAGGAAACCAGATGAAGGACACAAAAATAAGTTGAGAGCCCATATCATTCCTTCATTAAAAAAGGAAATCAAAGCCAATGGCTAGAAACAGGAGTATGTAGTGACAAGAAATCATGGGCAGGAGAAAATTCAGTCAAAGATTTCAATTCCAATCATGATGCCACCCCACCTGGCAGGATAAAATTGTCACTCTGTTCCCCATGTAAAAAGCCTTTGCACTGCTGGTGGCCTCAAAAATCTTCTGAAGTGATTTCTTGCTGGTGTTTTTTGAAATAATGAGTTTTATTTCTGAAACATCAGTAATTGTTATTCATTAATACTTGTGATTTTAAAGATATTTTTTTAACCCAGCATTCCCTGCTGTGACTCCTCAAACAACCCCCCCCCCCCAGACATTGTTGCCCTTGCTTCTGTAAATCCAAGTGTCCCTGCTTTGCAAGGGAGATGCTTTTTTGAACCCCCCCCCTAAAAAAAAAACTTCTCCACCTTGCATCCTGGGAAACAAGCAGATCCCCCAACCCCTTGCAATTTTTTTTAAACTTGAACATTTTGGAGGTGATCAGGAGATTTCCAAGTTTCTGAATATTATTTCTCATGACTTTTTTGTGGAGCCTCTCACTCAATTCAATGTAAACACAAAGCTTGTTTTAATGATGTCGCTGAGAAACTTCAGATGAGTTCTGAATCTTTCTCAATGTTTTTGACAGGATCAGAATAACACATTGAAATTTTTCTTCAGTTTAGTGTTCAAAGTTTTATTTTATTTCAAGTGCTCATGGGCACAACATTTTTAAAAATATCAAAAGTTAGCCACACATGGGTTAAAATTCTGTGAATTTTTGAATAAATAAAATAAGTGGATGACATTTTTACATGCAATCCAAGTTACAGTTAAAATTGGGATGAGATTCATGAGAAATTTATGTTTCACACAGCAGACACATATTTCATCATCAAGAATTTATTTGATCATGTGCATATTTTGTGCCATGAGTGTAACAGCTAATATTGTTGTGCCCTGTCACCGAAAGAAATAGTTACAGTGTCCTACGTCATGTGTATAATACTGCTCTCTACTGTTGCAATTCCCGCATAGCAACTTGCTGCCCCAAAGCAGACGATGACATTGCGTGTCCTAGATACACTGTCTGGTTTGCGGTCATTTGCCCGGTCCCCTTTCTGTTTTCCCCATTCTAGTTGCGCAGACGCGTCTGGCTTGATCCGCATCTATAAAGGTACCGCAAAGTGTGTATGTCAGCATTCATTGCTGGTTTGACTCTTGTTGGTGAAGCTCACAAAATATATACGTATTCACTTTACCGAGAAGTCTAGATTCACTTTTACCCCGGCCATAAAGAATTAGAATTCTTCTCGACAGAACGTTATCTTGGAAAGAACTAAGTTTTAGATTAATCGCGTAAGAAAGAGAGACGTTTCTTTCTGCACAAAAGTGTCTGAAGTTTTATTCTTTTGCCGATTTAGGATAACATTACAGTTCTGATCATTAACATTGTGATCCTAGACAAAACATAAAAAAGCGAATTTTTCAAGAAATGTTGGAAGAATTATAGCTTATTTTTAAACTAAAGAAAGCCATTTTAATCTTCTGCAGCAAAATTGGAATATTTTTGCAATATTTTATGCCCATACACACTGAAAAAAAAATCAAAATTTTCAGCCAAGCCCTAAGTCAGGAAAAAGTTTGAACTTGTTGCTCTGAACATGTTGGCTGAAAAATACACGAAAAATTCCTAAAATGCCTTGGTACTGGGTGGCATCTGTTTCTTGCATTCCTATAGCATAGAATTTACATGGCATACTTCTGAAAACAACGTATTTATTATTTCCACATTTTCCCCAGCTTAGACCTTTGCAACCCATTTTGGCAACCTTTGGTAAAACTTAAATGCGCCTGGCGTTCAGAAAAATCACAAAAGGGATGCAGGATGAAAAGCTGGAACTTACCATGATCCAAGGGTTATAATATTAACGTACAAGTTCAGTACAGTTGAAATTTTTTCAAGTCTCAATCAGACTAATCTCCCTTAGAGACAATGAATTAATAAACTCCCTGACTCAAAGGCTTTTCTTCTCAAACCTCCTTAACTACAATTTTCTGAGGTCTTTCAGCTATTATTTTATTTATGAAGGAAATAGAAAGCAAGAAAAGAAGTAAGTTGATGTGTTTTGAGAGGAAGCAAAAGACTAATTGGCTTCCTAGTTCAGAATTCTTTGAACTTATTTAAAAAACAATTTTAAGCTCAGAACCCCACCACTTACAGTTTCCTAGAATAATCCTTCTTTCTTCCATAGACAAAAATGCTTGTCTCCTTGATTCAAAACCTCCCTGAATCAAATTCTTTGGTGGTCCCCTGAAATTCAACTCATAGAACTTTGACTGTCTATATGTGTTATCAGCTGAGCTTAATTGCTCTACTTATTCCTTGCCCCTTGCCCTGCTCATTAATGCGGGATGGCCATGCATGTGCAACTATGTCCTCCTCTAAAGTCTCAATTAATGATGGCCCTCTGGCAGTCCACCACCATATAATTAACTCTGGTGAAACTCTGTTGTGGAATACTTTCTTTCTTTCATTTGGCTCAACTTTAACGTCTGAGTGTTGACCTCCCTGTGTCTGGTTTCTCTGAGTTGATAAAAGCCCATGCTAGACAGTAATTTCCCCAGTGGATGAATCCCTCTGAAAAGGAGCAGAGTCTGTATAGGAGCGTTGTTTTATTGCACATGTTTGAGTCTTAATAAATACTTGTGAAGAAACCATACTTGTATGTTGCTTGCAATACTAATTACCTAAATATTTAAAGTACTTGGTTTGGGATGTGCCCAGTAAAATGGGAGCAAACTAAAATTAAAGTCTATGCCTCCAGGGTTATCCTCTTAAAGGTAGATAATACTCAGGGTTTTAGCCTGTGAATCTTAAAACCAAGGGTGTAGGACAACATATGCAAGGATGTGATGCAGCATGCAAACATTTCCCTACATACAAGGACACAGTCTGATAAGTGATTACTTATTCACATCTCAAGGCCCCTCTGCAATAATCCATTTGGACCATACAGGAGCTCATTGTGATTGATGATATAATTTTTCCACTTCCACAGGGCTTCACGGCGTCTGAGCTGAAGATGGTCGGACCAAGTCTCATTGGCGCCGGCGTGTTCTTCTGCTTCCTGCGGGTGTTCTTCTGCACGTGTCCCCACTGTTGCCGCCAACGGTGCGGTTGCCAGTTTCCCTGCTGCTTCCAGCACGGCGCCGAAGAGCCGCCGGGTGTCGGTGGCGCCGAGAGCCGCCGCGACGACGTCGTCGGCATCGCAGTTCAGCCCCTGCAGCAACACGGCCAGCAACAGTCGTCGTCCGCGGCGACCCCGGTTCCCGGGGCGTCCACACAACCGCCGCTGCCGCCATCGACGGAGAATGAATCAACGTCTAGACATAGTATGTGATAAACCGTGATAAACCTGCGTGAAAATAAATTCCAGTATCACCAGGGATTTATTCTTTATAAGAAGAATTCTTTGCAGTTTTAATATGAAGGGCACAAAGTTTTCCATCTTTTTGAATATAAAATAAAAATTGCTGCAACTAACCATTTTTCAACTATGCTGAAGTTGCACCGCTTCAGGATGCGACATCTACAACGAAATTGTTTCTGGATAACTTGTTTCGGGTCCCTTGAATTTAAAAAGTTCGTTCGGGGAATTGACACAACGAAAATGGATATTAACAAATTAGACCCCTTATTGTCGAAGAAATGGGAAGAGAACCCTTTGGGGCTCAAAAATACTGTACTTCGTTGTGCAGCAGAGAAAATCGTTGTAATTAATATATCCTCATCCGTGAAGTCCACCTGTGCTACCAGTCATCACTCTCATCAGTTATGATCGACCACAAATAACCCACGATTGGTTCATTCTTCTTCTTCTCACAGCGAGTAGTCGAGGCAACCCCTCATTGTCTTCAGCCGGCGGCGGGCGGCCGCGGACTTCGGCCGCCTCCACGATCGCCGCCGCCATCGACCCACCCGACTACTACGCCGACGTGCCGAAACTGCCGACGATCTCCTCGGTCCGCGGAAGTCGCACAGACGTCATTCGAGAAGAAGACGACTTGTTTGTCGACGTCGACGAGACTCAGTTTCAGCAGCAACAACAACACCAACAACAGACAGACGAGGTTTTGTTGTCCGCCAAGGCGCTCAACTCCTCGGGCCTCACTTGACCTTAAACTGCTTTTACGAACTTTTTTTTTCGTTTGTTCGTCGATATATTTCGTGACGGGAAAAAGAGAGAAGAAAGCGAAAAACAAGGGAGTCCTTTCAAGTGTCGCGTGAGAGTTTCCGGGGGCATTCATAAAGTTACAGAGTCATTTTTTTTTCAAGAGCAGCTTTGAATCAAAGATGCACTTTTCGGCTCTGATTTTTGCAAGTATTATTCATAAGACTGCTTTGGTATATTACATCCTCATAGAATCGGATTCTCGTGTCTCGTGCATTTCAATTTAAGTTTAAAAAATTTAAAGAATATGGTCGTAAAATCCTTCTTTCCATTTTTCGTTCCTCAACAGCCAGGGTAATGATGAGAAACTTTCTGAATGCCCCGGATGTTTTTTGAGAAGTCATGCTTGCGGGAAACATGTGATGCGTAATTTCTTTCAAAGAACTGCAAATTTATTGCTTAATATTTGGAAATTCGACGCTTTGAGCATATACTGTATAGATAAATAATTTATGAAAAAAATTATACACGTTTTCGCACTTGTAGAAATAATCGCCACTCGTCAAAACCTTAAAATGTTATGGGTGTGTTTTCGGTTATTGTGTTCTTCGCTTTTTTTTCAATACTATGTAGTTGAACAGATGTTAAAAAGGGAAATTTTGATACTTGACACATGAAAGGACCTGCGAGACTACCTCAACACATTTCAGGCAAGTCCGAATTACGAGAGGCAGTAATTGACTTTAATTTTTCTACTATGTTCCTGATGTTAAATTCTGAATGAAATTTTGAAAATTTAATAACACCAGCACATCTTATTTGTTGTTCGTTTTCCGCGGAAAATTTGATATTTTCAAATATGAGTGAATATCGACCTGAGCCAAAGCGTGCCAATATTTCAGAATGACCCATCTTCTAAATACGCTTTTAATCGTTAATTGCGGTTTGAATCCCGAAAACAGGGGAGTATTTTAATCGCCGTATAAAAATGTAGGTCTTTTCTGATTGAAGAATATTCAGAGGACGTAAATTTACGTTTCTTGAAGTATACGTGTAATTCACTTTAACTTAACCAATGTCTGGCTGTGAATTGAATGGACTTGGCAGTATCCTGATTCCTGAGGAACCTTTCGACACCATGTTAAAAAATTTTGTGCAATTTGAAGACGAAATGCAAAAGTTCATTTGCAGGAATGACGTTTGAAGTTAACGCTACAGACAAGGCATCTTATTAAAGAGTCGCGATTTTTTTTTCCTTCAATTTTGCCCGAAGAAGAGTACTTTAAATTTGAAATATCTGAAAATATTCAGATTTTTAAAATGCTGCAAATGTCGGATATTGTTTTGTTGTTATATTGCTGATGGAATGAATGATTAAAAATCGCATTCACTGACACATGAGAGTCTTACTGAATTCAGATGTATAATCGGTATACGTAGGAGTTTCCCGAAAATTTTGAACCGAAAGAACAACAAAATTCAAATTTCAATTGAATGAATGTAAACTTGAACAATAGTACGAGTATATAATCGGTACGTAGGATTTCACCGAAAATTTCGAACCCAATCAACAACGAAATTCAAATCGGAAAATACCGTAAATTTTAACAATTCCTCAACGCAGTTTAGTTCGAAATTATTAATCATTGGTGGTTTTTTTCCAGGATATTTTGAAGTTGAAATGGATATTTCGAAAAACTGAGCAATAAAAAACTTTCGAGGTACATTTCAGAAAAAAGCTTGTCATCTGACACCCACACCTAAAAATATGATCACAGTAACAAAGTTCCTTCAACATGAAATAAGTATTAAATTACGTGCACCTTCTTCGAAGCCATGTATAGTTGCCTGTGTACATAATATTTATTGGCGATTAATCTGTTTGAAATTCATAAGCATATAAGGCACATGATGTTCCTGGTTTTAATTAATTTAAAAAAATCAAATCCTAAAAATTAACATAAGCGAGCGGCTAAAAAAAACAGGGTTTTGGTTTTTTATTGATCAAATGCAGTGCAGTTCAGTACTGTATTTAAAATACTGTACACTATTTACAACTTACACACCGCACAAAAAAACCCAAAACACTTATTTTCAGACTTACTTATTGCTTTGTTAAGTTATTTCGCCTTGTGCGAAACAAATTTTTTATTGGAACAATCTTGTACTGAACCAGTGAGTCAATAGTGAAATGAAAGTTTGGGGGGGGGGGGGGGGGGGGGGGGGGTGGTT